CCCCCATTAATATATGAATTTAATGCAATCCCAAGAAAAATAGCAACATTTTTCCTCTCTGGTGCTAGAAAGTTGATTCCAAATTTCCTGTGTGTTTGGTAAGAAAATCGGAAGAGGAGCCACAGAGAGCATTCTAGCAGATACTAAAACATACTCTACAGTCTGTATCACGAAGACTGTTCTGTAGGTGCATGAAGAGAGACTGGCCAAACATGATATAAAGCCCAGAGAGAGGCTTTTCAAAAACCTATAGAAATACATATGGAAGTTTGACACATGAAAATAGCATCTTAAGTCAGTGAGGCAAAGAGGGACTTGTTAATAAGTGCTGGTGGCGTCACAGGAGTGAGTTGCTGAGGCTCCAAACCTCAGTTCCTGTGTTTGATTGAAAGAAAATTTAAAGTCAGAAACTAAAAGTTTTGCAAGAAAACTTTATTGTAAGTGAAAGTAAAGTAAGGCTCAAGCAAAGAACACTGAAGTGTAGAGGGCAAGAGAAAGAGAGAGGGAGGTGTGTCTGAGCAAAGAATGACAAAGGAAGTAATACTGTCTCCAAACTTATTACTGTTTGATGTTTGCCTTGAGAACTAGGGACCACCTTCGGCACTCTTGGCCAATCAGGTGTTCAACTAACTCTTCTTCACAGTCAGGGGTGGAGTTTTGTTTTGTTTTGTAATACCGGGGATTGAACTCAGGGGCATTCAACCCCTGAGCCACATTCCCAGCCCTATTTTGTATTTTTTTTAGAGACAGGGTCTCCCTGAGTTGCTTAGTGCCTCTCTGTGGCTGAGGCTGGTTTTGAACTCATGATCCTCCTGCCTCCGTCTCCCAGGCTGCTGGGATTACAGGCGTGGGCCACTGCGCCTGGTGGGTAGTAGAGTTTTTGACCCCAATTATTCCTCTATGGAACTGTCATTGTGGTGGCCATCCTATTAGGGTGGCTTCATCTATAAGTCAATCCTATGTTAATGTGGGTCCTGGGGTTAGTGGCTAGTCTAAAGCTACCTTAGTGCGTCTGTGTTCCTAGAGAAACCTCCTTTTTGAACTATATGGAGACACCTATGGCTATAACTCTAATTTTACCCTGACCTCAGTGGACCCTATCAAGAGTAAGTTCCGTTAATTCTTTCCTCTTGGATTCCCCCAATTAGCTCCTTTTGTTTCTGTTTGCTTACTCTCAAAGTCTGTGTATACACATTTTTCTATACACAGGCTATCTTCTATAAGTTACTTTCCCAACTGCCTTAGCAGTAACTTAAAGAAAACCTTAAGAGTAAATTAAACCTTGACCTTGTTACTCATTCCACTGCTCATTACTAACTACCACCTAAGAGTGGGACAACCAGATGGCCATTTGGAAAAAGATAAATTGGGATCATACTTCAAACCATATGTCAGATTAAATAACCAGTGTTATCAGATCCAAATGTAAAGAAATGAAACAAGTACTATGAAAAACATGGATGTCTTCCCATGACTCAACAGTTAGGAGAGCAGAATAAAAAATAGATAAATTTTGGGAGATCCACTGTAGGTTTCTCTGCCTCCTCATTTACCCTTCTCCCTCAAGCTGTGAAAAAAAAAAGTTTATTTCCCCATGTCATTCCAATTCTGGGTATCTTCACTCTAATTTTTGCCACTTGTATTGGTAAAGATATATTTTACTGATGCTTTAATTTGCTTTTCTTCCATTATAAGTAAGGTCTGAGGTTGAGCCTCCTATTTGCTGGTCATCTGTGGTTCTTCTATGAATAGTCTTCATATCCTTTGTCTTTTTTCCCTTAAGATTTAATATTTTTCTATTTTAAGATCTTTCATATGTCAAAGATTTTAGTAATCTCTCGTGTATATTGCCAATGTTTTCCTTCATTTGTTCCTGATCTCTTTGAGCCTTGCAGCAATCCTAGGGGATAGTCCAAGCAGGTGGAATTATCCCCATTTAATTGGTGGGGAAACTATGACTCAGTGGAGACAGTTGGCCCAGGTTAACTGGGCTCTGGGAGGACCTTGGTTTCCTTGCTCTGAGCTTGGGACTCTGAGCTGTCTCAATGCTCCAACAGAGACATGGAGCCTGGATGACATCTTTTAGGACTATCAGGGGAATCATTAACTAAATGACCTCTTAAGTCCTCTTCAGCTCTGCTATTTTCTGATTCTGTAATCTAAGGCATAAGAAAGAGACACTTGAGCAAAAGCATTGAACTTATCCTTAAGGCTTATGCATGTGTTGAAGGTGGGTGGAGGAGGCAGCTGGCTGATCCATCCCCATGTCTGACATTCTCCAGGGCAGATGTCTGCAACAGTATGTCACCAAAGGCATTTCCTTCCTATCCTTTCCTGGACTGTGAGTGAGGAGCTTGATGCCTCATGCTGCCTCCATGCAATAAAAAGCAACCAAAAACCTAGAGCAACAAGAACTCCAGCTCAGTTTTATGGCTGGAGAGGACTAGATCAAGGTAGCCATCGCCGCTTCCGCCAACCCTTTCAGACACAGTGGATCATAGCACACACCACCTGAGCTTGGCTGCAGCTTCCTAATCCTGCTTAGCATTGTTTTGTAGAAAGCAACTAACATTTGATTTAAATAAACACAGGGATAAACTATTTGTCTTCCTGTCACTCAGCTATTTTTCCTAATAGTGACTCTTCTTACAAAAGAATATATGTTCATTTAAGCAGGTTTAGAAAATAACTCAAAAATAAGAAAATAAAAAATATTTATGAGCATATTGCCATTGTTAACCACTGTTAACACGGGATTATAAAAAAAAGTGGGATCAAACTTCTGCAGTTTATTTACTCACTGAAATAGCTTTCTATATAAGTAAATATTAAACCAACATTTCCCTTTTAATGGGTTCATGGTATGCCATTCATGAATGTACCACTGTTTATCTGCTGTAGCTGGGCATCTAGTTCCTATGCCCATTAGCTGTATTACAAAAATGTTGCGGCAAACAAATCTTTGTGCATTTTAATGTACCTCCCACCATGGATAAACACACAAAGATGGTATAGTTGGCTTGCTCTATATTGACAAATTCCATCTAGAATGGCAGCCACACTTGCTACCAGTTCTGTGTGATGGCCAGTTTCTACTCACCCTAATCCTTAAGGGCTGACATCATTCTTTTTAGTGAATCTGAGACAAAAATGGCATTGTTTGAATTTGCTAATAATCTTCTGTGTGGCTATCATCTATCTGATATTTTTCTTTTGCCTATTTATATCCTTTGCTCAGCTTTTTATTAGGGGTTCATCTTTTATTTCCTATGGGTCTGTAAATAATCCTTATATATCGGGGCCAGTAGTTCTTTGTTATATATGATTTTGATCGAGCCCAGCAAAGACTTACCTACTATCTTTAATGTCGGGTTTACAAAAGTATTCCCTACTATCTCAGTCTGAATTTTATGGTTAAAAGCAACAGAGGGTCATTCAGAACCTCCAGAGAAAGAAAGGGGAGGAAAAGTGTTGTAATAAGGTAGATGGGATCTAAAACTGGATGCACGCACAGGAACTGGGCTTGGTGGCACACTCCTATCATTCCAGCAACTCGGGAGCCAGAAGAAGAATTGAAAGTTCCAGGCCAGCCTCAGCAACTTAGCAACAAAAAGTGCTGAGGATGTAGCTAAGTGGTCGAGTACCCCTGGGTTCTACCCCCGAGTGCCAAAGACAAATAAGCAGGAATTTCATATAACATGGTTCTGTTTCCATACTGCTGTGTCTAATTTGTTCTTCTTGCTAAATGCTAAGTAGTACATTTAAAAAAAAATCAGGCTTAGTAACATACAATATTGATAAGGCCAGTCCTTTCTACTTGCCCTTATTTTCACTAACTTCCTTTTTCTTCCATATCTTTTCCGTAACTATTTTTATTGTGTTTATTTTTCCAGATTGATTTCAGAATCTTTTTGTTGCACTCACCCAAAATACCACTGCAGCTTTTTTTTTTTAATGCAAAGCTTGTTTAGGTATAAATTAAAATTCATCTCCAAAGAATACAGGTGGATGAGTCCTATCACATGTGTGCAGTCACACAGACATAGGTCTTGTTCATCACCTCCCTAAATTCCCTTGTGCCCCTGGCAACCACTTGCCATTATAATATTATTGAAATTGTGTTAAAGATTTAATAGGAAAAAATTAACCTATTTATATTACTGAGTCTTCTCATCAAGGAAAATAATACTACATCTTTATTCATTATATCGTATATTTTCCCCAAATTTTATAATTTTCTTATGGATCTTGCATCACGATTACATTTATTATGTTTATTATAAGTTCTGCATGGCTATTGCAAATTTAGTAATCTTTTCATTACATTTACTATGTGGCTGTCATAGTGTATAGTAACCTTGTTGATTTTTGCAAACTTATTATTAGATGCTGATTAGATACATAAAACACGCCAAAGAGAATTTAACATTAGGTGTACTGGTTGGCAAACTGACAGGGGCAGAATATCTAAACACCATCCTATTCTTTGTTTATGTCTTATATGGTTATTTTTATTCCAGTGGCATTCTCCAAGGACTGAGTCTATCTGTACATCCCAAGTATTTAACCTGACTTAGATGCTCCCAAATTGTAGCCTGAATCATGATTAATGAATGACTGCCCACATGCTGAGGCCCTCCTGTCCAGTCAGGGCTTTCTGCATGGGGTTTGGTGCCTTCTGCACGTGCATGGGCCCACAAGAGAGCCTCAAGGCCAGCAGACAGCCAAGCAAGCCATCCAAAGAAAAGCCTGCCCTGATTTTCACACTGAAGACTTGCCTGTTCCTATTCAGAAAGGGATTTGACCCTTGCAGGGCACCATGGCCCCACTTTCTTCTGTAACAAATTGTGTCTTACCAGAGCCTGAGCTGACCCAGGGATCAAATGGTCCTCCATTTGGTTTCAATTGAGTGTTTCAAAATGCCTAAATGGAAGTAGGGCATTGAGACCTGATAAGCTTCCCGAGACTGACCAAACAGCATCTCTCTTTCCTTTTTGCAGAAATTATATCAACTCAGTGGAGAAACTTGCTATCTTGGGCTGAAGAGAAGTTCTGACAAGGAGTGACAGACAGGATTGATTAAAATTTTTAAATGGAGTGATAAAGTACTGATCAGAAAATGGATTTTGTTTACTTGAAAGACTCTCCAAATTGTTTTGTGGAACAGAAATTGATTAAAGAGCTTCCTGATTGAGAAATGATTAATTACTTTATTATCTAAGTCTGGGTGGGAGGTGGCAGGGGAGTGGGAATTGATGTGCATAGGAATTACTTGGAGATCTGGTTAAAAATCCAGATTCTGATTAAAGAGCTCAGCAATGGAGGCGGAGACTGCATGTTCAGTGAGCTCCCAGGTGCTGTGACCCTGCAGGTCCAGCAAGGCCATATTCGCTTCACTCCAAACTTGGAGCCAAGTCCTATTGGGGCCCTTCTTCCCCTGCCCAGCAGGGTGGGTTTGGACACACCCAATACCATGATGGCAGAATCACCTCAAGTTCATCCCAAGATCTTGGAGCCCAGCAGATGCAGAGGTCAAGACTCAGTATCTCTTCCTCTAGAGACTGGAAAGCTCTCACGCCTCTACAAAGCTCAGCCTGGGTCCCTTACCTTTGTGTCATCCTTGAATGGAAAACGGACAATGGACCACCAACTATGGACCTGCCTGGGAATACTTGAGATGGCTCAGGTATACTCTACACTTGGCGATGTTTTTGCTTCATAAAGTGGGACTCTAGTGGGCACAAGAATCACTGGAGTCATCTCAAGTTGACCGACAATCACTGCTGCTCACTGCAGCAGGTAACAGGGAATGGGCCTGTTCTCCCCCAGCTTGTTTTTACCTCAGTATCCTGGGTCCCTGAAAGCCTGCAAAAGTCTCAGGAGAAAATTTCTCTGCCTCTCAAAGTTGGGCCAGCTTTAGTGGCTATCCTGCACATGGGGGTGGGGTAGGGTGGGCGGGCACTGAAGCTATGGATTTCCTGTACCTGACAGTGGGGTAAGAAGAAAGATCTTGAACACGGGGCTTAAGTGCAGCTACTGTGCCGTGACTGCCTCGTCACACGTCAGTCCTACTTCTCTGACTGCATTCTTCTGATTTCCTCAGAGCTTGCTGAAGGTTCCACCTTCTCCCTCTCCCCCTTGGGCAATCTGGGCAGGAGCTCGCATCACTGTCCAAACTCGCAAGTCGTAAATGTTACTGATGCTTTCTTCATATCACAGACCTGTTTCCTTTCAAGTCTGCCTGTCACAGGAACTCATCTTCCCCTCCATTTTTTTTTTTGAGGTATAGATTTTACAGAGTGAAGTTCATAAATCTTAAGTTTAAAGCTTAATACACTTTTAAGTATGTAAGTCATCACATGGATCAAGCTATTTAGAATATTTCCATTGCTCTGGAAGATTCCGTTGGACACTTTTCAATCAATAACAATCCAACTCTGCCCCAGCTGAGTTCTATTTTGACTTCTATTTCTGGAGGTTAGTCTTCCCTGTTCTCCCAGCATCTTATTTCATCATAACAGAGTTATCCCTGTTTTATACAAAAAGAAAAATAAACAACAACAAAAAAACCCCCACAAAACACACAAACAACAACAACAAAAAAAACCCCAAACACAAGTAGGTTGGTTTTTCTAACCAGGCCCAAACTGAATACCACCCCCCATGATTGGGAATGGAAGGGGAGGTCTGGGGGATTCGCTTTCTAACCCCTTCATGTCCTCCTTGGCCTGGGTGTAAACGAGGACATAAACTCACATGTCGACATGAACAGAACACACCTCCATGATGAACAGTGTCATGGCTCCTTCAAGTCCAAGATGTTCTTAAAGTCCAATAATTCATGTTCTTATTGATTGGATAGCTGATGGTATTAAGTAATTCTATGGTTTGGATTTAAATGTCCCCCAAAGGCCATGTGCTTAAGGTTTAGTCACCAGCCTGTAGCAATACTGGGAAATGGTATCACCTGTAAGAAGTGGGAACAAACCACCATGTTCTCCCTGCCATGATGTTGTGCCTCGACACAATGGAGCCAGGAGACCAGGGACTGCAACCTCTGGAACCATAATCACAAATAAAACTTTTCTCCTTTTATTTCCTGAAGTATTTTGTTACAGCAACAGAAAACGAGAACAAGGAAATACTAACACAAATACTAATAACTAATACAAAGCAGATTTTTGGCATTGGGATTGTGGTTGTGTTTTTAAATGACAGAACTAGTCTCTTTTAGAGATATAGGTTGCAATTGAGCTATGGGGGAGGGTAGATGAAACAAGATAAGTCACTGTGTTGATTAAGTATTGGTGATGGTGTATCAAGTTGATCATTCTATTCTTTGAATAGGTTGGAAAATTTCCAAATAAAAAAACCCTCAAGTTACATTGTCTCACATGAGCTTTGGTGGACACCTCACATCCAAACCATAACAGTCCTTGGATTGATGGACTGGGTTAGGCTCCTGTTCTCAGTGGTTCTAGGGCTTCTCCCAACACTTGAAAATAGAACCAAAGTCCGGTGATTCCCAGAATCCTCTGGATTGTGGCTCCTGGACTCTTCTCTGATCTCCTCATTCTCATGGTTCTGACTCTCTTTTGTCTTTTGAATTCTCAATACTTATGTTAAATCTAAAGAAGTATTTTTATTAAAGAAAACAAGAACTACAGCTAAAACTGAATGATGATCTCCCATGACTTGAGTCATGCTGGGCTTCCTGCTGTTCCTTGAGCATCATCCCAAGCACACTCCAGTGGGTATGTGTGCATGTTGGGGTGAGGGGAAAATAAAAATTTACCTTGCCAACTACTTTTTCCTCTTGACAACCCACTATCTAGCCTTGGCAAGGGAGAGGGGGACCTTCAATACTCACTAAAACCAGTAATTATAAAAATTGAGTAGTATCAGTGTGTCAGGATAATAACACTTTTTACTCTTAGTATTAAAAATTGATCCTGGGAATCCAGCCTAAGTGGATTCTAAACATTCTGAGAAGACTCACACAGAACACAAAACAGTAGTTACTTGTGAGGAGGGGTCAAGGATGGGGGAGACGGAGACTTGAGCTCCATCTATCATGTCTAATTGTTTTAAAGGAACACTTTTGTGAATTTCTGGTACAAAAAAAGATTTATACAAAAATGCTGAAGACTGAAAGGAAATGCATCCAAATAGTATTTTTCCACAGTGGAACAACAATGATTTTAAGTGTTCTTCCTTCAAGTTTTCTGCACAATCCAAACTTTCTCTATTGAGGACATGGTATAATTATGAAAGCAGAATGAAAGACCTTTAAATACACTTAGAAAATAAACAAAATAATTACCTCCTAACTTTCAAAAATGTTATTAATGAAGACATGGCTACAGAGGTTATTACTTGCACCTCATTAGTAACAGGAATGAATACCCATATCATCAGTCATGTCACTCATAACTAGCATTACAAAGTATAAACCAAACGGATGAAAAAATGCTTGCATGAACAACTGATCTTTCAAAAGCAATTCATATACACACAATTTAATTTTTTATATGTAAAAAAAATAAAGTTGTTTGGGAGGTTATGGTTGAAAATTTTAATTTATTTTAACCTTATGTTCAAAAATGAGATACTTAAATCCTATGTAGACACATTACAATTTCATATCATATTCCTGGGTTCCTATGAGCCTCCCGACTCAATAAATCTCAGCTCTTCTACCCCAGGCATCAGTTGCCTCACAAACCCATGTACAGTAAGTTCTTTCATGCCTGTTCCATTGACAGGATTCTTATATTTTTCAAATAAACAAAAAGCATTTTAAAAAATATTAATTCTATTTAAGAGCCCAGTGAAAACACTCTAACCTACTCAGATAAAGATCTTCAAGTGAGAACCCATTGAAAGGCAGCTTGGAACCCCCAGTTTGGGCTTAATTTATGTGATCATCATATGCACACCATAGCCATGGAACACGCAGGGACCAGAATATAAATTGGGACCTGAGTTTTACACCTTTATTATCTAGAAGTGGATACTTCATGAATAAAAATTTCAGGGGCCCCCTTTCCTGCTTCTATCATCCTGACTCTAAGCCTTTAAATTCGACACTGGAATGAAGAGCAAAGAAAACAGTTCTTCAAAAGTTGCTGTTCCCTTTCTGGATCATTACACAAGCTCTATCTGGCAACAGCTGAGAATGAAGACCACATTTTATCCAAGAGCAAGCTTGCTGCAAAGTGAGCCACACAAATGGCTTGGGGCTTAAAACAGATCATCTTTTTAAATGTTTGGCATTTCAGATATTTAACACCTGTCTTGTTACACAAGACTAGTCTTTTAATAAGTTCCTCCTTGCTTTCTTGATAAGATTACTGAGAAAGTCATTCCAAACCAACTACCGATGAGGTAAGCGAATATCTTGTAGCTGTTTAAGGAATGGGCTATTGCACTGGTTTCCTAGGCCTGCCCTAAGGAAGTGCCAGTAGTTTAAACTCGTATCTTCTCACCATTCTGGAGCTTGGTATTCTAAGAACAAGGTGTCGGCAGGCTGGTTTCTTCTGGAGACCTCTCTCTCTGACCGTCAAAGGGTCTTGCTGTGCATGTGTCCCTAGCTCTTATTAAGGAAATCAGTAATATTGGCTAAGGGAAGACCTACCCTAATGGTCTCATTTTAATCACCTCTTTAATTACTATCTCCAAATACAATCACATTTGTAAGTTTGGTGGTTTGACTATGACACAGGAATCTTAGAGAACATGCTTCAGTTTTAACTATAGTAAAACACAATTGATGTGTAAAAAGAATGTCTTTCAACTAGGCATTATACTTGTTGTAGCTTAGGATTGAATGAAAATGTTCAGAGAACTTGGCCTAGAGCAGCAGCTTCAAATAGAAAATGGTAATGGTCCAACCCAGGACCAGGGAAGTCAAAATTAGGAACAAAAGCCAAAATTCATTTCTTCACTCAAGGATCATTTTCTTGAATGGCCAACAGACATCCAACCAAAGGATGGCTTACCATTATTTCTCTATTAAACTCTTACTGCAGGTGTGGTCGCCAGATCACCAGCATCTCGTTCAGCAGGGATGTCTGTTCAGAATGAAACTTCAGCCCTGGAACCCTGTGTTTTAACATGCACCCAACCACCCACCCGAGTTTATGGGTCTCTGCCCTGAGAGATGTGTGCTGCCATTACACACCCACGCTCTACCAAG